TGCGCGCGCGCGCGCGCGCGTGTGTGTGTGTGTGTGTGTGTGTGTGTGTGTGTGTGTGTGTGTGTGTGTGTACGTTTGTGTCGACGGCGCGCGCTAATGCGGCCTCACCTCCCTCCTCCCGGCACCGCTGCTGCCAGCCAGCCAGCAGCAGCAGGCCAGCAGCCGCCGCCTCGTTGAGCGCCGCCTTGTGGATCGCCTCGCCCCGCCGGTAGCCTGCGGCAGCGGGGGGCGTGAAAAAGGGCGACTCGGTGGGCGCGGAAGCTTGCCACGCGCCGCTGCCGCGGCGCGCCTCGCGCAAGCGGCGCCGAGAAAGGCGCGCCGGCGAGCCCCGGAGCGCCGCGTCCCTGTTGGCGGCCGGCCCGGACGCGAGTCCCGCCCGGGGCGCGGCGGCGGCGCTGCCGACCTCTCCGGTGCAGGGAGCCGCCCCCCAGGTCTCGGTACAAGCTGAGGGTGTCGTACAGCAGTGCCGCGTGCAGCGGCAGGTCTGCCTCCCCGCCTTCCGGCGGCGCCGGCCGGACGCCCCTTTGAATGCGAGGCCGGCGGCGTGGGAGCGGCGCGGGGTCATGTGCGGGTCGGGGGTAGGTGCGGCGCGCGGCGACGGCGGTTGGGCGTTGCCCATTTGTGCCTTGGAGCGGCCCGAGCAGGCGCACTGCTCGCCCGCCGCCCTCGCCGCACCTGCGCTGTGCTCACCTGGCATCCCGCACCGAGTCGCACACCGCGTCCCTCACCCTCCTAGCTACAAGCTGCGGTCGGCGGTGGCGGCGTAAGGAGGAGGTCTGTGCCGGTCCGTTTGGCGTGGGGGGGCTCGCAGAACGGCGAACTGAGGGCCGCCGGGGTGTGCCCCCGGTGGAAGGCCGCGTCAGCTCCAGCGTCCACTGCCCCGCCCGGCCGTCACCTGAGAGTTGGTGACGTTGCTGCAGCTCCAGACCTGGCTGGTCACGCCCACGGTCCGGCCCGGCGGCAGCAGCAGCGGCCAGTCCAGCAGCCGCCGCGCGGACTCGTAGACCGTGTCGCCGGCCTCGCGGCGCGGGTCCAGGGGCTCTGACGCCACCAGCTGCAGCACGCGCGTCGCGGACCGCAGCCAGAGGGCGGCCCTGTAGCCCACTGCCTGGCTGTCGGCCCTGGGTGCGCCGGGGCACAGGTGGGGAGGGGGCAATGCAGGCATCGTCCCGTCGCTGGGAGCCGAGGGGGGCCCGGCCGATCGCTGGGCCTCTGGGCGGCACGGCGACGAAAGCCGGGCCTCGCACCCTCAAGCGCGCGCCGTTCCGGCGAGCGCGCGCCGTTCCGGCGGCGCCGCCGGCGGG